AGACTCGCTCTGACAGGGGAAACGTGATCAAACTCAACAACAATTCGCTTCACGCAGTGCGCAACCAGAATAAAAATAAAAAAGTTCGTCGGTAACTTGCATGGTGAAACCAGTCATAGGTGGACTTCGATGTTTCAGTATCAGTTCCTTTTCAGAGTAATTAGCAGCGTTCAACAGCAAGTTCTGAACGCCAAGCACATCACATGACATATTCCGTCATGACGTCACAGCCGCTCTAGACGTCTTCAATGTGAGGTTCGCGCATACTACAGCAGATGACCAGACAAACCCGACCGGAACTGATTTAGCGAATGACAACTTTTCGTGACAAACAGCTAAATCGCCGCGAGGCCTGATTCGCTCATATACATAACCCACCAATCTATATGGACGTCCTCTGAAGGAAGTCTAAATTTATACGACCACGTCCTCGTCAACTGTTAACGGTGCCGTTCGTCACTCGCGACTAGTGTTAGTCATGGGATCTTATCACCGCATTGTCATAGCAGAGTTTCGTCTAAAATTTGCCGTGTTATTTCGCCGGCATATGACTGAAACAAACCAGCGTTTCGATTTTGACAGGCTTCATGAAGTAACGCAGTCGGTCTTTCAAATGGAGGCAGAATGCTATTTTATTACCGTCCTCAATGACAAGCCGGTAAATGACAAAGTCAAATACATCAAAGATTGCAACACTTCCTCGGCGAAACATGTAGTCTGGATCAGGAAAATGACAGCCAAACTGTCCCGGGTATTTCAGACAACATCTCAGACCTTAGAGGGCTAAGGAATCAGGCTAAGAACGAGTACTTGCAACACTTTCCTGCATCCTCGAAGGGCAACCCTTTATGGTCTCGTTTGTGCAGTCAACGATATCTATAGACGGGACAAAGCTATGATAGGAAGGTGAAATACGGAAGATCGACAATGCATAGAGAAAGGTTGACTGTTCCAAGAGGTATGGCAGCTGCCTGATAAGCAGAAAACTCTTTTAACGAAAACGTTAAAGATAAAAATGCCCACTGACAGATAAGAACACTTCAAAAGCAGGAGAAATTCCAGTAGCTGTTTAACAAATCTCCTCCACATTTCCCCGCCCGACCGTGAATTTCGGACCAACACTAGAGGTGAGTGCATACCCAACTACAGAACAAAAAATGTAATAAGCATTGACACAGCTTGAGAAAATAAGGCCTGAAGCGTCCCTGAAGATCTATCCCCCAAGAAGTAAATTAAATAAGGGAAAGAGAGAAAAACTCTATACCCTATTTTATCAAACGTTAAACTCAAAACGCTTCCTTGGTGAATTTCGGCCTGATATAGTTGTCCCAGTATTCAAATGACAGCAGGCAACCGAGTGCACCAACTGTCGTGGCGTAACTTCAGGGAAACTTCTTATAATCTTGCAAAAGCATTTGGCAGAATACTTAAACAAAGCAGGCTTTTGGAGGGAGTACCCCTGCCGTGAGTAAATTTTCACTCTTCATAAAAACACTCAGCAATGCCACCGATTCCAAATGCCTAGGTTTGCCAGTTTTCTCGACATCAAGGCTGCATCTGATTCATTATATTGTCCGACGACGTGGAAAATCTTGAAACGATATGAGACATTTGAATACATCGTTTCACTGCAGAAAAGGTCTATGAGGAACCATGTTTGTTCCCAAAGCTGAAGGAGAGTTATATGAATGGTTACCAATTAACCGTGGAATTCGCCAGGGTGATGTGGTTTCGCCTTTTTTAGTAACAGCGTTCTCGAATTTTTCTCAAAACAGTACTGACCCTGGCAGAAATTCTAGAGGGAAATCGCGGTTTCGGATATCCGGCTAGATATCTTTCTGACTTGGAGTATGAAGAGGGTATTGTACAGGTGAGTAGTATGGGAAACGAACTGTGACCTTAATGCTTCCGTAAGCAACTCAACTGCGAAAGCTGGCCTATATTTTAACATTCGGAAGAAAGCCCAAAGATACGAAGAATGCCTTGGACACGGTTCATCTGTCAGTGGAATAGAAACGGAAAGCAATAGAAGATGCAGACCAAGTTAATTACCTCAGCTCAATGATCTCCAACGATGGCACCATTCAAGGATAGCTACACACGAAAATCGCCACCGCCTCCAGTGCTTTCGGTAACCATTTAAATATTTAGGTCGAAGAAGAAGTTGCCCTCTCCACAAAATGTCTCACACCTCAGAGAGGTTAGTGCTGTAGGATGGCGTGGAAGCAGTTGTTCTAAAGAAGGACCAAGAACGACGGTTGAGCGGCGCACAACAACGTTGGTTTCGACGCATAATCAGGGTTATATCGCAGGGCAACGTAACAAAGGAGTATATCGCACTACGAATATGGATGTGTGCTGTAGAAGAGGAAGCTAAGAAATGGTTGACAAACTCTCTTAGACAAACTGACTATGCAAGAACCATTTATTCCAGCCCATGAGTGTCTCGTGTGGAGCGGAAACACGACAAGCGTTGATTCGGAGAAACAAGGTAAGAGCAGATCTGATACGAGAAGCATATTTCCTTCTGCGATATAGTACACATCGCAAACCAGAGATGTTCTGCTCATGCAACGACTCAAGGTGACGATCATACGGGCTGACAGCTAGGCTGAAAACACGCGCGATAAACTGTATAACTAAAGAAAGCGAGTCTCTTCCAGCTGCCGTAGGAATCAACGAAAAGCATTTTCTTTGTCACTCACATTCTTTTTCAGCGGTGTTGCCTCAGACAAATCTACGTTTTACAAGATCTGCTGGACGCGCGATAGAACAGTCACTGCTTTTTACAAGGATCATAATCGGTCTTCACACTCCCGTTTCTCTGAGAAAACTGTTTAATTTTTCCTTGCAAAGAGTAAGGACAGAAATCAAAGCGTAGGGCAGGCCTTGGCGAAAGAAAAAAGAATTAATTCTAAAAATATCAGTGCTCTTCCATCGTTGTGATGAAACTTCGTATGAAGCCCTGCAAAACAGAACTACAAGGCGCATGACTGATAGCTTTTTATTTTACGAAAATTTTCAGACCGAAGAATAATTACGTTTAAATAAGGTCTTTAATACTTATCAAACCTATCTGACTGCAAATGTCAAAATCAGAATAAATTAAGATCTTAAGACAAATATAGCGTGCCGTTAACTGACTGGCATCATTCGCATCTCGCAGAAACACGCTTGTACGATGTCGTACTGGGGGTCAAACTGCCCCTCAGCAGTATGCCCTATCTAAAACTGCTTGTTGTATCTACGGTTACAACAAAAATAGATATATCTAACCGTCATTGTGGTATATGCGCCAACCGAAAATAATCTCACTGAAAAGAAGACCAGCGCTCAATCTCGCTTCAATTCGCCGGCCACATAATATCACCCCAGTCGTCTTTCTGAATGAAACAAACATCATAAATTGAAGGAGCTTCGAAATTGGTCAAATAATCAGCTGTGAACTATCCAACGAGAATATAGATCACCTGCCATCCTTCCATGCGACTGTGATTATGTAAGGTGTATCTTTGATGCTCAGATTTTGAACATCCATTCTTAGACATGTACTTCGAATGAAGGAATCACCTGACTTAACCTTATTCACTTGAATTACACCGAAGATTTCGCACTATTCGCAGTAGATCCAAAAACTTCCATCATTCCATCCAAGCGCTTATCGATGTGACACATCAATTCAAACTCAGCTCATCGCCGAATAAGTGATTAAGAAACCAGAACATCTGCCATGTGGTCGACGTTGAAGATGCGGGTGGTACAGACACAGTACATACCGTAGATCCATCCATCTCGGCTAAACGTTGTTGTCTAGGTCCGACGGAGACATGACAAAATTCTGACTAATCAGCGTCGACGCCATGTGTATGGTCATTTCGCGCAATCTGGAGACAACGAAGCACATACAACAATACCTGAATTTACAAGATGTGCATGACTGCAACGATGCTATATGGCAACTCAGTTAC